ACTCGTCTCGGATCTCTTTCCTCTTTTTTTATTTTTTCTTTTTGTGTTCCTTTCCTTTCTTTCCCTGTGTGTTTAGGTATGGATTTAATCTGCTAATGAGAGTCTCTTCCATCGAGGCTACTTCAGACTTCACCCCTGTCGATACTGGTATGAGTACGTACTTATGCCAATCAAATTTACGTAGCCAGTTGTACAGCTTGCACTGCACCCCCTTCCCAATCTTCCGAGCTAGGTTGACATGTTCACACCACCTATTATCAGGTCGCAATCCTGTCTTTCCTATGTAAAAATGACTACACCATAGTGAAGCGAGTACATATGCACAATGATTTGCGTCTAAAAGACTTAGTGTATCTACTCATGTATACTGAGTTGTCAATAAGTTCACGAAGGATCCTGACCATGAAATAGTACCACCAATGGCGAGTGATATAAACAACAGTCTATATAGCCTACTACTCTCTGAGCAGTTTTTCATTTGCTAAGTATTTACAAGTAGCTCTATTGTTGACGATACACGGTGTATATGCATCCACTTTAACCTATTCGTGAGACTCCACGTCGACTCTGGCCGTTCCACCGTTCCGAGATGTCTTGGTCACTGGATGATGTAGGTGATGAGTCGTCACCATCGTCGCTGGAGTTCGAGTTTTATTCTTCGTTGTCTTCATAGCTTGAGACATCTTGCTCATATCCTCCGGGTAGATACGTGTTTCGATTTGGGAATTATGATTGAAGTTCTGCCCTCCGTATGTCACGAGTCCCAGTACTTTGAACAGGGCAGTCATATCTTGCGGTTTGTCTTTGTACTTGATGTCATAAGTCTTGCACAACTTTTGTCGGTCCGTGTAGTGAAGCCTCAAAAGTTGTGTATTCGTTATCGGTTCGAATCCAAAATTTATGTTCCTCTTCGTCTTTGCTGCTCTGCTCGGTCGTCTGTTCTTCGTCCTCCCGCGCTTCGGATGTGGTACAAGTGGCCGACTTGCACTCTTGCTGATATGCACTGATGTCGGTGTATAGTCATCATGGAGTCTTGAAAGTGGTTTGGATTAACTATTGATGATACATGCGGTGTGCAGGTTCTGGTTGGTTCGTTAATCTTCTTTAAGACACCTTTGACTGCGGCAAAATCGTATTCCATCAACTTGATTTCATTGATATCTCTTCACACTTCCGACACCATCTTGTCGACTTTTTATGTGCCAACTATATCGGCCCCACCGGTTTCTGTTTATGCATTTCTGACTTTACTTAATTCTTCCACCTTTTTTCTTGGTAGTGCTGACTCCAGAGCTTTGTCAATCATATCTTGAGTTTTGCTATTGTTAGTGGTTTAGTTGTTTTCTCCTCCGCTAGTCCTGTTTTCTTTTAACTTGTATTCTCGTTATTGTGTCCCTTCTCCGCTTGTGCACACTTCTTGCTTTCTGCTAACTTTGCAATCAATTGTTCAATGTTTTTTTTCATCTTCTCCATTTCCCCTCGTAGTGAACATATCTCCTCCTTGAAGTCGGCAGTAAACCACGCTCTGTTACCAGGTGGAGGAAAATCATTTTGCCTCTGCTCCCACTGCTGTCGACCGAATCTTTTTGACGAGTCCGATTCAATTTATTTTCTCCTTACTGATGTCGATCATGATTTGACTCGGCGGTCTCCTGGGTCTCCCCCGTTTGATTTGCTTCCTTCCTTGCGATGTTGATGATTATTATGATGATGATGATGATGATGATGAGGAGGAGGAGGAGGAGTGTATGTGCCTCCGTCTTGCCGACGATGAGCGTAAACACTCCATCTTCCCCGGAGTATTTGAAACCTTAGGTGTAGTTTCTTCAACAAACGCCAATGGTGAAAACGGATTAGATAATGCGTAGGAAAGGATGAAAATAATGTGAGCAATACAACAAACATGAAATTCAAACGAAAAAGAAAAAGAAAGTTCACAGAATCTTCAACCATAAAGATGAGACAAAATATGACCACATCAAAATATAATAGAAGCAAATTATGAGACGAATTTTCAATCGTGAATAAATGTGTTTGGTAATACCCAGATGCATGATCATTCAGAAAAAAATCATGAATTCTCGCAGTTGCAACCACTAATCCACCGGTTAGTACGGTGATGAGAAAAAAAACTCACTGTAAACGTAAAGAGAAATGTTTACCAACATGCAGGCAGTGTCAATCTCCACGGGTGCTTCCTGTAAGTTCAAAGCACCGTGCATTGAGATACACACTTAAAATATTGGACAACACGTGTGAAGGTTTGCTTTCACATAATACACGTCTTGTCCATAGCATGCGACCAACCAGTTGCGATCACCGTTCTACCTCTCTGCTCATGTAATCCTTTAAGCCATTATCATCAATATATATACCCGTTGGTCAAAATACTTCCCCGTCCAGCTGAACCCCAGTCCTTGGAGTCTCCTCTCATAATCATGTCATCGTCACGTTGTTCGTATGCTTCTGTAGTAGTGTTTTTGTCAAAAAAACGCCCTTCTCTGAAAAATCTACATCGTTTTCTGCCCTTGAAGCATTTTTGTCGTTGCTGTTGATGCTTTTATGGTCATGATGTGCTGATAAGTTCATTTTCGAAAATGTTCTGCATCTTCATATCTCGTGAAATCCCCCGATAACGTTTTTAAGTACTCTTCCATATTTTTTTTTATCGTATGTGAATTGCAAAATTCGGAATTCAAAGTTTGAAAATTGTGTCATTATATCCCCTGAAGTACCATAGTAATGTTTCCACATATCCTTGAATTCCTTCCTCGTTCGTGAATTTTTATTAGTATTACAAATTTTGGATTTCAGAATTTGGATTTTGCTCTCGTCCTCCGAGTGTTGTATCGGTTAAACTTCCGAGTTCAGAGATAGATTTGTCTTCGTTGGTTGATATTTTTTTCGGAGAGCCTTGTCTTAAATTCATATTTGTTTCGTATACTTTTATATTATCACATTCACAAAATCCTATTTAACATTCTCACTTGGATTCCGACTAGGTTTTTATATTCGACATGTCTTTGTGTGATTCTTTTTATATTTAAAGCTACGTAGCACCGTACTCGCGTTCGGAGGTGAACGCGAACATGTTCGCCCTAACGCGAACAAGCGCCCGAAACCCTCCGAACGCGAACATAAAAAATATTAAAAAAAAACAATCTCACAAAAATCTGGAAAATATGTGTTATGTAAAATAACAATACAAGCAATTTTTGCCTTGGAGTCATGTTCAAATTCCTAGCCAATCATGAGTTAAAAATCAAAAATCGGTTTTTTTTAATTTTTTTTTTTACGAAAAACAATTATGTTCGCTCGAACATGTTCGTGAGCTGTTTGTGCGAATGCGCGAACACGTTCGCACGAACATAAAGGGGCGTGAACACGTTCGCCGTGCTATGCAGTTTTGAAGATAAGTCTCTGTTGCCGTATCTGTGTTTCAACATCTGGTATGTCGTTCAGTAGAGAAAATGCTTTGTTGCTTTATATTTTCATCATTGTTTTTGTGTTATTTTCTTTGTTTTTGTATTACCGACACTTTCTGTCTTTTTTGTTTAGAAATGTTAAAAAGATAGGTTGCACTGTGTTATCTGTACAGTTTATGATGAAGGTCAAAATTATCGATTGTGTTGTTTTTCACGGGTATTCCAACAATTTAAGCTCGGTGCAATATAATTCCAATACGGAGGACAAATCGTTCATGACATATGTGTTCGTTATCATTTTGTGAAAAGTGTCGATGATCGTCAACATTTTTATGTTCACGGAGCCGACACTCCTGAAATGATGGAAAGTCTCTCTCTCTCTCTCTCTGTATATATATATAAAATCGTCGTTCTTTTCTCTTTTAGAGAGAGAGAGAGAGAGAGAGAGAAAGAAGGTGTGCGAAACAAAAACGAATCTTCCCGCATTCTGGGGAAAAAATCATGTTTAAGGAGAAGATTTATGGTTTAAGGGGATTGATGTTGCTCACTGCCCTAATCGGCAGTGGTTGAGGACTTGGGTGGGGCCGCTGGTGACGGGGGGCGGCTAATGCAAACACCGAGCATTTTGTCAGTATCGAGTATTAAGAATGTATATGGCCAACACTCTCCTACACACACACGCAGACACACACTCACACCCGTGATGGCCAAGGACCCTCAGAATACCGAACAGGAGTAGCAAGCCAATAATCTCAGTTGGCTGGCACCAAGACTGCTGCAGGTGGTCAGTTGCGATGGAACCCACAACCTGCTGAATGCCACTTGCGTGCCTAACCAAGTGAGCTAGGCCGCTTGCTCGAGCTACCCCGCTTGCTTACGATGGGAGCCTCACTTCCGTAGTATCCTTGTTTTTTGGGAAAAATTGCAACTCTACCCCGCTACCCAGTCGAGCGCCCAGCTTGCATCTATACCCTACTTTTCGTGTGTGCCAACTTATACGCGTACACGGTCCCGCAGGCCCTTGGTTGGGGAGCACAAATTTGTGCATACGCCCAGGCAAAATTGGATTTGCACATAATTTGCCTGGGTATGTGCATAATTAGCATTCCAGTAGTCGGGTATAACTGTAATTTCGCGGTACCAACCTTGGCCCTCCTCCGTCCTGGTATACGAAAAATTTGCACAGACCATTTTCCCTGTTATGATGCAAGTTGGACACCATGGATGGGTATTGCGGGTATAACGGGCACAGATGCATTTTTTTTTTTTTTTTTTTTTTTTTTTCCCTTGGCGCCGTCGGGTCGTCGACCGCGAGGACGCGAGGATCCCTGCCAGTCGCTGATTGGTTCGCTGCTTTCCGTGGAACTGTTCTGGCCCGCTTTCGGGGCTTTGTACATGTTTGTACATGGCTCCCACGCTGGAGTGTTTTCGTTCTCTCGTTGGCTGGCTGGTTTTGTTTTTTTCGTGTGCTCGTCGGTCGGGTCGTCGGCTTGTTCGTTCTTTTTGACGTCTGGCGTTTGTTTGAGGATTCAATTCCTTACGCGAGACGGGAATGTCGACCAGGGTGGTCTGAAGGGATCGTCGCGTCATTCTTCCGGGGAGGAGGGGGAAGACTGGGGAAGAGTGGGCCACAGGTGAGGGACAGTTTGGTGGGGTCGGCATCAGTCATCAGTCAGCGCTGTACCGACGCTCCCCGTCGAGCAGACTTGCCTCTCTAACGGACGAGAGAAGAGAGGGGGCGAGGGCGGGAGTCCTATTCTGCTTGCGCGTTCGGCAGCTTTTCCTTGCCACCTTGTTTCCTCAAGCAACTCAAGGCGAGAGGCGCACGGACATGAGATCATCCTGAGCGCGGAAGGCGGGTGGGGGGGGGAATGGGTGCATTACCTGGGGAATTGCAGCTTTTGATTGCGCAGTGCCGTTGGTGGATGTAGTTGTAGAGGGGCCTATCATGCACGCTAAGTCCATCTGCTTGCTAACGTAGCGGGAGCGCGGATCCGTGCGTAAACGATGATGGTCCTGGCTTCCAATCACGGTTTGTGAATCGGAAACACAGATCGGCGGGTGGGAAACGAGAGGCAAAAATGTTTTGGAGGTCCCGAGATCGAGAGCCGGCCGTCCCGGCACCTGTGGCGGACCCCAAGGTTGCATTCATCTCTAGGTCTATTGAGCGACTTTTGAAAGATGCATCGGGGCGCAAGTACTCGCGTCTACAGCAAGCGTGCAAGGCCTATATCGGTAAGTACATGGAATTGGATTCACCCCGCTTCTTTCCTGTCCACAAGTCGGGGTAAGGGAAAAGCATCTACCCTTGGCGAGGATGTATTGTTATCCATTTATATGTACGTATATATATGTATATATACACAGCCCCTCGTTTGTTGTCCTCTTCTCTCTCTCTGCCTACGGTTTACCGGGCAGTTCTATTTGTGACGATATATGCATATATATGTGTGTATATATATGTATATATGTACAGCTCAACTTCCTGATGAGTCAGTGAAACTCGTCGAAACAGTCTGTCACAGCCCCTTGTCTGTCGTCCTCTTCTTCCTCTCTGCCTATGCTTCCCCGGGCAGTTCTCTCTCTCTCTCCCTCTCTCTCTCTCTCTCTCTATATATATATATGTTCACCGGACATCTTGGAATATCCCCAGTCTTAACCGGTTGTGTTTGCTCTCGTTTTCTCTCCCCTCCGGCGTCTGACTCCTTTTTGCACCCTCACTTTATCATCATGTATTCGTGGAGTACTCCCTTCTACCAGTCGAGAAGTGAATTGCATACCGTCCTCGTTTCCTGTCACTTCCTTGACCTAAGGTTAAAAGAAGAAAGAATGTGTGGGAGGCAATCTCGCTCCCAATGGATGGGAGGCAGGGCGGAACTAAGAGGTGAACAGTTATCTCGATCGATATTTCTGCGCTACTTCTTCCCCAGCAAAATGCTCCCTCCCTTGTTCCTACCCTCAGATATGGAACAACCCTTCCGTCATCTCGATCGATCTGTTACCCTTCGTAATCTTTTATTGTCCCCTTCTTCCTCCTATCTCAGTATTCGCACCTTGTCTTAACCTTTCCTTATCTTTTATTGTCCCCTTCTTTCTGGTCTCTCAATCTTCGCCTGCGCAAGCCCTTTCTTGCCTTCTCTTCTTTTTACTGGGTCCTCGATCTCTCCTTCATTTTCTTTGCAATGTCTCCTCCTTTTCGCCTCTTTGCTCCCAACTTCTGCATCCACATGCTGGGCGAAGCTGTGGGATGAGTGTATGGTAAGCTCTTTGAGAACTCTCGTTCGCGGCTCGTTGTTCTGATTCTACCCGCCAAACGATGACCCTTTCCCCTCACATGTTATGCTCTAAGACGACCGTCTTCCCCCGAACACAACGCACCCTAATAGTGAATGTATACAATCTATCTTTCCAGTACGGTGCAGCCATTATGAGGGTGCGTTGTGTTCTTCGTGGGAAGACGGTACTCTTTACATTTCATCGTCTGGCGTTCGGGCTGAAGAAATTACGTGGCGTTCCCGAGTCTTAGGGCATCCGCACACCCAGAAGTTTTTGGCTGCTTTCTGGTGGTATTTGCAGCCAGATAGATCACGGTTCGCCCGTAACTTTTGCGGTCAGGTACATGTAGAAGAGTTGTAATCCGAGTTATGCTCATAGTTCTCTTCATTCCTCCATTAATGTTCGTCGATCTACTCTTCGGCCCCATACGTACCCCCATCGATCATTTGCTCTCTTTCTCCTAACTGAGCGTGAAGGAACCCTGGCGCTGTCGCGCGTTGCTTGCTTAATGCCATGCCGTTATCTCTACCACTTAGTATTATTCTCTCATCCCCGGGCTTTATAACTTTCTTTCGTTTTCAGATTCCACAGCAGCCCTCAACCTGTGTGAACCTCGCTCTCCGCCCTCCTCCCTGCTCCCCCCTCCCCGCTGTTTGCTGTCCGCTCTCCGCTCTCCTTTCCCCGCGTTTCGCTTTCCTCTCCCCGCCCTTCGCTCTCCGCTCTCCGCTCTCTGCTCTCCGCTCTCCGCTTCCCGCTTCCCGCCCCTCGCCGCTTTCTCTCTCCGCTCTCCGCTTCCCGCCCCTCTCCGCTCTCCGCTCTCCGCTCTCCGCTCTCCGCTTCCCGCCCCTCGCCGCTCTCCGCTCTCCGCTCTCCGCTCTCCGCTCACCGCTTCCCGCCCCTCGCCGCTCTTCGCTCTCCGCTAACTATGCTTCACACGAGGAAACTATTTTGACTGAATTTGGTTGCGGTTGCTGTCTGATTCAGTCAGAAAAGTCCAGGTGTGAGGACAGTCTTACTGTCTTGTCAGAGTCTTCTACTCATTGATTTCCTGTCGCTTGGCTGCATCGTCGGGCTCATTTCGTTTCACCGTCACTACCGGTTGCCATGCTGTTTGCGTATCCGACATTTCGATGCGCTTTTTCTTGTTTCATTCCTCTTCTTTCCCGGGCAAGGTCTTCATTCTACCTCTTCCCCGCCTACCGTAGCCCTCCCTCTCCACTTGCTCGTGTTCTCTTCAGTCCCTGTTGTGGTGTGTTGGGGTTCTGTCTGTCGGTGGTGGAAAGAGCGTCTTTTCCGTTGGCCCGTCTCTTTACGGCGTGTTTGGCACTTTTTCGCTTGCCCTTTCAGCCGTCTCGGGCAAAAAAACGCGGCATTGGTTGCGGCAGTGGGAATATATTTCCTACGAGTCTTTCTGAGATCGTTCGCTGCAGAGTCATCCTCATCGCAAAGAACGGCATCCCTACCCAATTCTCTTGGTTGGCTGGTCGGTTGGTTGGTTGGTTCCAACGTTATCATCTATATGTTTCCGGTGGGCGTCCTTTTGCCTGCACGTAAACCTATTCCCTATTTCTCGGCGAGGCGGCTTGCTGAAGCCGAGCACGCAACTCACGGGCAGTCAGAAATAGCGCGAATCTGCCCCTCATTGTGGGGCAGATTGGGGGGGGGGGGAGACCACAGTCACGAACCTGCCGGGAAGCACAGCTATTGGAGGGAAATGCACTCGATACGCGTGGGAGATAGACTACCGTCTTCCCCTGAAAACTGAAACGCACCCTCATCGTGAATGTATACAAGCCATTTTTCCGGTCCGTTACAGTCAGAGTGAGGGTGCGTTGTGTTCGGGGCAAGAGGGTGGGAGGTACTTCCACTGCAATAGATAAAAAAAAAAAGCCACACATGACAACTCGCTCACTGCCGTGATGACTCACATACTGAATCATGCGCTCACTCGATACACGCGGCCGATACCCACACCCTCGCATTCATACCTTTGTCGGCCTTTTGGCCAAGATGAAGTGTAGTATCTGTTCTGGTCAGTCTAATATCTGAAAAAAAAAAACAATAGTATTTCGCAAACACAGTCGCAGCTCCGGCAGAAAGACACGTGTCAGCGAAAGCCACGTGTCAACGAAGGCAGGTGTCACGCGTAGTGGAGTATGCAGAGGTGTCACGGGTAATCCGCGCGCTCTGTCGCTACATTCCCCTTTTCACCTCAACCTTGGTCAGTGATGCGGCGCACATGTGCGTATGTGTCACTACACCAGTGTGACCAAGGAGCGGCCGCATCACTCGCGAGGAGGTTGAGGTGATAAGGGGCCTCTCTCTCCACTACTCTCGAAATGTGCAAAACGAGAGTGTATCTTCCTCTAGGACATGGAGAGATACACGCCATGATGTTTGTCTTCTGTGCATGTCGAGTGTAGGGGAGCGAGGCCCAAGGGGAATGTAACGAGAGAGAGAGAGCGCGGACCGAAGTTGCTGCATCACGTCGCGTGTCGATTTATCCTGCGTGCCGTTCGCTTTCTTGTTTTTTTTTTTTTTTTTTTCCCGTTTGCCTGTCGTCTTTGCGCAGGGCCCATGCTAATCTTCTCTGTATCGTTCCAATTTTAACGTATCTTTCCCGCCTTTGTTGAGGAAGTAATTGTCCCAAGCCCAGTTTTTGACACCCTATTGATCTCCAGCTTCCGGTCCGATCTCGGCAGAGCGCTCTTTCGTATCGGCGTCCAAGCGGCAGCACGTAGCCGTCGTGAATTTCACACGACGGCTTTTCTCTGTCGTGGATGGATACACTGTCGTGGACCGGGGCAACGGCTTTACACTGTCGTGGATGGATGCAGATGGTCGTGTAGCGTGGCGTATCGCTGGATATGATTGCAGTCGCGCAGCTGTGCGCGCGGGGGAAACCGCCGCGCAGCTGTTCAGTGTGTGGCGACGCGAACCGTCACTAGACAGTTGCAAAAACCGTGACAGACCGTCGCAGATCTCCGATCACCGCAGCAGCACGGTGCCCCTCCATGTATTGCTCGCTTCCACTCATCAGATAGATGGCCTCTGGTACTGAATGACTGGACATCGTCAAAATGTTGGCGTCTGGCGAGTGGTGCGGCGAGGCCCGGAGGTAGTTTGACTCTTAATTCGAAGTCTCCTTGATTCAAAAACCGATCGTGGTACCGAAATGTGCAGCTAATCATTCACAGAATACACATCCTGCGAATCCACATGTGTACCGACATCGCTACTAATCCACAGCTCGGTAGACCGCCGGGAGAGATACACACTTGCAATATTGGGCAACACGTGTGAGGCTTCTCTTCCACAGAATACACGTCCTGTCCATGGCATGCGACTCGCAAAGTTGCGATCACCTTTCTTCTTTGTCCAGACTCTAGAAGCCTGCGTTGCTCGCGGAAAACATAAATCTTGGGTTTATGAAAATGTGCGAAAGTGATCACTGGGAGAAACAAGTGATGGAGTGATTTCGTTTTGTAGTGCCTTGCCTTTAATCACTTGGGATACACTCAGGGGGCACTAACACTAGCTTTATCTTTAAATCTATTTGACCGCATTTACGGCCGCATGTGAATGCATCTAACGGCGATTACGTTCCGAAATAAGTAAAAGAGTCCGAGTGTGAGTATGCCCTCATTTCTCCCATTGGACGTACGTAATTTTGATTCATTATATGTTGTCTCCCCCGTTTAGTTGTTTGTTGATTAACACTGTATACATCTATCTATCTATATATTTATATTCTCTTCTCCCTCTCTGCTGATCGTTTACCGGGGAGTCCTGTTTTGAACGATACATATGTACACGATTACAGAATTTTGCTTTTGAGAACGGTGGATGATCTGTAGAATCCTGCTTGGTTAGTCCTCGGTAGATTCTCCTCTCGTTCCCAACCCACAAAACGATGACTTGCGGAAAGTGTTCCATAATGTGGGGAGTTTTTTTTTTCT